TTTTTTTTTTTTTGCAAAATTTCTGGCATTGGTTACTGGTAGCCTTGCTTCCCATTGGCAAGTGTTAGTTTGCTTTCATTAATTTGAACATGTACTGACAGAATAAAAGTGATGATAAAATGTCCCAAGGTGTTTAGTATGTCCCATAGGAATTTTTTGTTGGGTAGAATAGGCCTTCGTGACGCACAGAGAAAAAGAAAAACCATGATAGGGATTCTTTAAAATTTCAACAATTATTCCAGGTGGTTTTAGAGTGGTTCATTCATAGCTTATGGTCTTCTTTTTCACAAGCTAAGTATCACGGTCCACAGGTAGTGAATACTTAATTAGCCAGTCTCATTTTTATTATACAGCTCGACGATCGAGTCATGGATCCCAAATCAGATCGTGACACTAAAGGGTACTTTTGAGTTAGCTTCTTTTTACTATACAGGTTCTTTTAGACCAGCGTGGGATTCCATCACCTCAAAGGGTTCATGTCTATGCCAAGTGTGACATCACCTTTCTGTGACTGTCTGAATTCCATTTGGGGAAAATTATATAAGCTGTCAAGGACTAATTAGTTGCAATGAAATAAATGGGAGGCTATGGCCCTGTAGACGAATTCTGCCATTGCTAAATGCTGGTGGCTGAACTTTTGCCTTTGTCTGGTTGGATTACATACAAGCATAGAAGATACTTGCCAGAGATTTCTCTCCCTTGTTGAGCAAGGCATTGATATTTGATGGTTTCTTTGGTTATTACGCAAAAGGATAATTATCCTTATAAAAAATAACAGATCTCTTACGTATTGGTAAAAGACGTGGCATCAGATGCTTTTCCCGCTGGAACACTCCTCAACAGTAACAGTTTGTAAATGTTTGAGAAGGGCCAGGAACTATCCTCTCAACTAAATCAATGTGCTGATATAGATGCCTTTTTGGAAAGTGTCTCCACCAGCTTCCAGAAGCCTAGAACCTCGCAGAACACTCCACCAATCGTCCACAAAATCCAAACCCAACAGGGACGAGCACTAGCTTAAATTTCCTCACCCAACATCAACACTTGAACAGCAAACAACAAACAAAAGTAAACAACTGTCAGTCTGCATTGAACTTTTCTAACAGCAATGGCACCGGCTCGTTTAGCACTGGGAAATTTGCAACAAAGGGTGTCCTTTTCTTTATCTTTTTTGGGTCACAACATGGGAGATCAGAGGAGCATTGTTGGTGGGGTACAAAGGCAAAGGTGGAATGATGAGATTTTGAAGAGGTTTATGGTAACGGCTACTGATAAGGTGTCTGATGAGAAAAAACAAGGCAAAGAAGCAGCTGTTTTCGAGGGTGACAAGAAGTCCAGGCTTTTCCCAAGGATGAAAAACAGGAGGAGTCTCTGGAATTGGAGGAATAAGCAAAGTGACTATGCTCCTGCCCTTTATGGTATATCATCGCTTTAGTCGCTTCCCTGCCCTTCCCTAGTTGTTTTCAGAAATTAAGAATCAATTGACTCTTTTTTTCCTTTCTCTTCTTAGAATTCTTCCCATCAGGCCTTGGGAATGCACTCTTGCAAGCAACTGAAAACATAAACAGGCTATTCGACAACCTCAACTTGACACCTTCACAGCTCATGGGGCGAGTCAAAGAGCAAGATGACTGCTACAAACTGCGGTACGACATGCCAGGGCTAACCAAAGAAGATGTTAAGATCACCATCGAGGACCGGGTCCTGACTATAGAGGGAGAGCATAAGGAAGAAGAAGGAGGAGGTTCGGACGATGATGAGCACTGGTCTGCCAGGAGCTATGGCTTCTATAACACAAGCCTTGTGCTGCCTGAGGATGCCAAAGTTGATGAGATTAAGGCTGAGTTGAAGGATGGGGTGCTTTGTATTATCATCCCAAGAACTGAACAACCCAAAAAGGATGTGAAGGAAGTTCATATTCATTAATGGAGTCATGCATGAACTTGATAAGCTTATCACGTTTTTTCTACCTGTTTGTGTTTCTGTTTGTGTGTCATCATGGTGACTGTGTGTGAATTTGAAATGGGAAATAAAAATCCCTTTCTCCTTTATTAAGTAAGCCTTTGGAGTTTGGACCAAATATGTACAAATGGGTTTGATGAAATGTATTCACTATCCATTAATTATCTCTTCTTGTTTAATATATTCGATTAAAATATATATTAATTAATAAATTAAAATTGTTGTATAAAATATATTAACATTTAAAATAACATTTAAAACAATTGTTGAAATTTTAATAAGCATTAAATTAATTATAAAAAATTTATAAACAAAAAATAATAAATATAATAAAAATTTAATATTAAAATTAATTATTTAAAATGAAATCGCTTAGTGTAACCTATTCAGTTACAATTATTCATGATTTTTTTCATCGTTATTTTCTTGTAGTGTATATATTGTTCTCTTTAATTAGTAAGATATATTTTTCTCTTCTTATAATTAATTTTTTTGTGTAGAACCATTATTTATATCAATAATGTTTTGATATTACCGTATTAAATAATATCTTATTCTAATACATGAAAATCATTACATTAATTATCAGTTTCTATGTTTTATACCAAAAAAAAATTAACATAAATAGTATTTTAATTAACTTAAAAAAACTTATCTTAATCTGCTCATAAAAAAGTGGAAGCCCTAATAGCTAGCCAATAGCTAGGCGCATGCAATGAAAAGTTACTAGCACTTGGAAATGACCAGTGGTAGACTGGGAAAATGGCAGATAGAGAGTGACGTCTCTCTTACGATTTCAACAGTTTATTTATGAAACAACTCACTCTCTCAGCGCTCTCTCAAGGCGTGAGACTGAAACCCAACCTACTGTCATTATTGTGTATTAAGTGTTGAGTTTTATGTTAGAAAAAGGAGGAAGAAACCGGTGCTGCTACCAAGGAAACAGGTCGATTTTTCCTTTCTTCTGGAACAGAATTATCACAACCTGGAAGGCCCAAAAAAGGAACACTGAAAAGGGTAACATATATAGGTAGCCCTTTTACCCTTACCAGGCCACATTTTTCTTGCAGTTTAAGTATCCTGAGAAGCTTGGTGTTGAGAGTTCACTGTCTGCTCCTCCCTAGCTAGAGAGGAACTCATGCAGTTTCCCCCAAACATATCAGTTTACCATTGTGAAGCTAATTTTACTCAAGTCTCTTTTCCTGCAATGACGGAAACTGAGCTAAGCAGAAACGTATCATCTGTCTTATCTTAATGATTTCAGGTATTTTCCATCGGATATCTGATCACTTTTTCTCTTTGAGAGAGTTCTATAAGTACAGAGTTTTAGAGCGTGGGGGGACAATTCACCTGATGAAAAGAAGCAAAGGTGAAACAGAAAATGGAAAAGAGTTTCAGAGATCAAACACAGTTTTCAGAAGATAAGATGATGCTGATTTCTAGTACAAAACAGAGATATCTGAAGACTTCAGAGACTTCGACATTGCTATATCACTATAACAATACATTAAAAGGCTAGTTCCCAGATTAAAGCAACTCCCTGTTGGGTTGCTTTCAAAAGGCAAAAGCAGAAAAGTTCATATTTGGTATGGAAATTGAGGATGAGACCCCTGATATTTTGGTTGAATAAAGCTTCATACTGTTATTTAGTGTTCATAAAAATAACCAAAATTATGTTGAATTGGGCTTCTCGGGGCATGGTCTCCTTTCTTCTGTTGGGTGAGATAAAGGATTTTGGTCAAGTCAGCTATAAGTAACGAGGATCACCAAGAACAATGACCTAAGTCATTCTGGTGTTTAAAGTCAAGCGCACAGTTTCCCAAATGGCCCCAGAAAGTTTTCTTTTGTTTTTCAACAAAGAAAGAAGCTTTTGATTGGTGAACAAGCCATTTGCACCAGAGACATGTCTCCTTTTCTATAGGCAACAGCCCTAGAAATTATTCAAACACAGTATATAAATATATGCGCATCAATACTCCTCCTGTATCAATCACCCTGATCCTCCATCTCTCTGAACATCCCTCCCTCACAGCAAATCAACTTTTTCACAAATCAGAAGTCTTCAAATAGTGATGGCTACATCAAGAACCTGCCCAAACCGGCTGAAAGTTGCAATCACTGTAACTTCCATTTTCTTTAGTACATTTCTGTACCCATCAGGTGATTCAATCCGAAAACTATTTGAGTTCTGTTTCAGCAATTTCTTTTTATTTTTCTTTTTAGTATCAAGGCTTGAGTGTATTATTATATATGCGGCTTTTGCAGTTGGGATACTGAACTCAGGTCATAGTGAGAGCATGGTGCAGCAGAGTAAAATGGTATTGGGTTCAAAGCCTCCTAGTTGTGTGAACAAGTGCTTGAATTGCAGCCCTTGCATGGCTACTCTAGTCATTCCTTCCCACCAATGGAAGCATTTCAGAGCTACATATCATGGAGATGAAGATGAAAGCTATTATCTCCTCTCATGGAAATGCAAATGCGGGGATAAGCTCTTTCAGCCTTGATCATGTGACTATGCATAACCTGCCATTCCCTTCCAGCAAGATGAAATGGCATCAGTTTCTATCCATATGCAAAATCTTAGATGTGCACAGTGTCTTTCTCTAACTTCCATAAATACTAAACTATAATGTACTTTGCGTGTGCCTATTCCAGTTTCATGCAAATTTCAAGCATGAAAACACTGATCTCTGTCACTCTGTCAGATTTTCATGAGCTCAAACTAAATATGGAAAGCTTTCCTTGATCTGAAGCTAGTTAGTGGAAACAAATATTTGTTCCCCATCAGTCCATGTTTCTTCATGGGTACCAGTAACATTGCACATTGGAGGAACAAGACAAACAAGAACCTATACTACTGTCTGTCTTGTCTACCATGAGCTAGCTTGGTATTATCCAACCGGTAAAACATGGGTTTTGGTAAATTTATATCTTCTAGACAAGTTAACCCGTAGTTGAGAATTAAGTTAACATCGGTAAGGAAATAGTCACTACAAATTGGTAACTATCAATGGAATATTGATGAAAATAAATGATTATAATTATCTACGGAAAGTATTGATGGAATGAATCGGTTTTCCTTAAGTAAAACAAGGGTGTATAATGTAGAAATATGATGCGAAATTTATCGATAGAATATTTTCATTAGTAACGTTGACTATATTATTGACTAAATATTTGATCGGTAATTTTGTTCAATTGTCGACGGAATTGTTGATAAAAATTCAGTTAATGATATTTTTTTAAAAGTTTAAAAGTTATCAATAAAAATTTTATAAGTAATTATTTTTTTAACTATCAATTTTACAATTATTTTTTAATTAAAAAAAGATGACTCACCAATTTTATATAATCAATAGCATTTTTTGAGATAAAATGGAGTTTTTAGACTTAAAGTTGAGGTAGCCATGATCTCTCTAACCATTGTAAAGAGTCACAATTTTGGCTTTTGTAAAACCAATTTTTTAAATTGAAGTTAAAGTTTATATTATTAATTAAGATTTTAATTTAAGAAAAAATAATTTGGGAATTACCAATGGGAAATATTGACAGATGTCTCCTATTATTGAGTAGATATCAACCGATGGATCAAACCTATGACTAATCGAATACTTTGTGGGTAAATTATTGACGAATTTCACATTTTTTGAATAAATGCCAAGACATGATGATTTTAGATATAACTTGTTAATATAATACATAATATGAATATGACATGGAGTTAAACGGATTTGAATTTAAGATTATCGTGTTTTGTATTTTTTTTCTTTTAAGAAGTATCATATTTTGTATTTTTAATGGGTTAAGCTTGTTTAATTTGCATAAAACATGTTTTATCTATTTAACTAACCGTATTATTATGTTAATTCATATAACATGATTTGTTTAACTCGTTTATGATATCTATTTAAACAAGTTAATTACGTTATATTTTGTATCGTATCATATAAAATTTAATTTGATTTATATAAAAAGTATTTTAATAATATTAAACATATTTATATATATTTAAAATATTAATTTATTTAATTAAATTTATATGTATCTATATAATTATTAACACTATTTAAATACGATACAATTAAAAATGGACAACAACGTGAATTATCAAATCTAATTATCACTAAAATTCAATACTACTTAGTAAAAAGAGAAGAAAATAGAAACCAAAACCCAAATTGGGCCGTACAGTCCAAGGCCCAAGGCCCAAGGACACCACCATATAAATCATATATACTTCTCTTCCTTTCTGTGATTTGGTGGAATAGCTGCCAGAAATGGAAATGGCCACTGCGTTCTCCCACCGCAGTTCTTTTGCTTATCTCAACTTCCAAAGCTTCAATCTGGATTCACGTCGACCGTTGATCGTTTCCCCGTTTCATCCCCACCGTCCTTGTCTCCCCATCCGCCTCCGTTCCAGTTCTAATGCGCCCAAGCCACGTTGCCTCTCCGCCGGCCCCGGCCCACCTTCCTCGCCTGAGCCCGACCCTCCTCGCCCCCCAGGTTTCTACCATCTTCTCATCTGCTTTTTGTTTCCTTCTTTGGTGATCATGTTTATGCGTTTTGAATTAGATTAGTTTGTTTTTATGAATAATTCTGTAAATTTGAAGTTGCTTGTATTTGTTTTGAATTTAATTTGAAAATTGCAAACATATCATGTAAATTTAGAGCTTAGTTTAGGACAAAGAGAGTTAAATTTCCTAAATCGGGAGAAACATAGGCAAAGTGGGAATCTTATCTAAGATAGTAATCAGTGAGTAGTCCTTTTCTTTAGGGTTAAACAATGAAAAAAAGAACGGAGGAACATTCAATTTATGAGTAACATTTGACTTCTTCAAAAGTGGAGTATTATTATTTTTATTATTCAAACAGGGACACTAAACTGAACAAGTAGTGCAATTATTGAAAAAATTATGTATTAGTAGATAATTTTAGGCATCATCTGTAAATTGCAGAGCGTAAGAACAACTGATAAGAAATTTCTGTTGCTACGCGGTGATACAATAGAAGGGTATTAAAAGTTATTATACAATAAAAGTTGGATTTAACTTTTTTCTTGTTTGCTTCTTTCATTTGAAGTCAAAATTCCATTTGAAATTGCTTTGAATGCGGCTTGTTCTGGTGTCTTATAATCTTTTTCCTTGAACGGGGTTTGCAGGAAAGTTATCTAGATTTCAAGATCATTCTGGTGTCTTATAAACTTTTTCCTTGAACAGGGTTTGCAGGAAAGTTATCTAGATTTCAAGATCGTGCGCAGATCTTCCTTGCTGTTCTTTTTTGGATGTCTCTGTTTTTCTGGGCTTCTGCATGGGATCGGAATAATTCTGGTAGACCAGACAAAGGATCTCGATTTAGAAGATAACCTAGTAAGAATTCGATTCTGTATATATATATATGAGACTTAGATAGAGTAGTACTAGAAATTCACGAAGGAAATTCAAATATAGATATCGAGCATGTACTTTATTTTCTTTCATTTCCAATTGGTTTAGTTATGTTAGAAAAACACTTTTGTGTAACATCTTAGTGAATCAGTGATTTCTTCCACCTTATAAGAAGAAAATAAAGGTGCGATGCCACACAGTTGGATTAAAATAGATAAAGGATTGGGTAAGTATGACTTGCTAACTGTTTTTTTGTGAATTAACATGCAGTGAGTGATGTGTCATTAAGAGCTTGAAAAAGGTGTTTCTTTTTTCTTTTCTCTCTTTCTGGTTGTGGGGCAGAAAGGAGCCGAGGGTTGTTGATGTGGGTGCATTCTACTGGGTAAAACATTTCCCAGTGATAGTTACTCTTATGTAGCTATACCTAATTGGATAGCATAAGAGCAATTAGTTACATGCTTAAACTTTTAGTTATAAGACATTGCCCTCTTTTAGAAATATCATATTCTCTTGTTACTGCCACATCTTGAATGCATAAATTGCATGTTTATAATGCTTGTTGTGCCCTTGAGTGCATGGTGGATATGCTAACCAATTAGATTATGATTGAGATTATGTTTCTTCTATTTGTTGTATAATTGGCCATTGAGATCATGAATTATGACATAAAGGGCATTTCATGACAATGTTGAGGGTCCTCTTTATGATAACAAAGAGGAATAATCTATGTTTCTGCAGTGATTTTTTATTTTGAAGATGTGTAATCCTTAAAAAAATTGTATTTTGTTTTTAATTCCCACAGTTTGTTTGAATATGTTGGCTTGACAACTTATTGACAATCAAGGTCTTGAATTGTGACATTTGAGCCTTTTATCATAGGGTAAATGAGAATCCTATTCCCTTGTGTAGCAAAGTGGGACTGTATGTTAGTGTAAATTTTTGAGAGGTTTTGTATATTCACATCAAGTAGCTCTCTAGAGATGCCAATGTATCATGTTAACTATCTATAATAATGACAGATATTTGAATCGGCGTAGTTTAAACCTTTCTTAACCCAACCAAAACCTCTTCCTTATATAAACGTCGCCGTTTATCATGATGGGTTGAATCTTGACATCAGTATCAACTTTGAACATTGCTGTTCGCGTGGCTAGTGCATCAGCCATTTGGTTTTCTTCTTAAGGTAAGTGGGTGAAGAAGTAGATCTCATCAAAATTTTCAATCAGCTTTGTAACAAATGTCTGGTATCAGACTAACTTTGAATCGCGTGTTTCCCATTCTCCTCGCAACTGGCATATGACCAAGGCAGAATCCCCGTACACTCCTAAGTTGCGAATCTTCCTCTCAATTGCTGCTTGAAGACCCATGACACAAGCATCATATTCAGCCTCATTATTAGTGCAGTAGAAGTTGAGTTTGGTTATGATCGGATAAGGATCTCCCTCTAGTGATACCAAAACTATCCCTATACCAAGTTCTAAAGCATTTGATGCCCCATCAAAGAATATCTCTCAGTTCTCATTCTCTATAGATTTCTCTTCACTTGTTTGGCATACTGACATCAGGTCCTCATCTGGAAACTCAAATTTCATTGGTTCATAATCATCCTCCAACCTTTCTGTTAATAAATTAGCTATTGCATTTCCTTTGATGGCTTTTCGAGACGTATATGCAATATCATATTCGGATAACAAAACTTGCCATTTTGCCGCTCTCCTTGAGACGGATGGTTTTTCAAAAATATATTTAATGAGATCCAATTTTGTTATGAGTCAAGTGGTATGATATAGCATGTATTGTTGGAGCCGATGCGCTATCCAAGCTAATACACAACACATCTTTTCTAATGGGGAATATTTGGACTCATAATCGGTGAAATTTTTGTTTAAGTAATAAATAATTTTTTTCTTCTTGCCTGTTTCATCCTGCGGTCTCAACACACATTTCATGGATTTTTCATTTACTGTCAGATATAGAATGAAAGGTCTTCTAATTATGAGTGGCATCAATACTAGTGGATTTAGAAGATATTCCTTAACCTTGTCAAAAGCAATATGGCATTCCTCATTCCATTCTCCTGGATCGTGCTTGCAAAAAAGCTTAAACATTGGGTCGCATTTGAAAGTGAGTTGTGATATGAATTGGGAAAAGAATTTTTCCTAGGCTCAGGATTTAAATTAAAACTCCATCAATACTATGGGAGGGTTTTAATTTTGAAATTTTGATATTCTTAATTTTTAATAAATAAAAATTATTATATAATAAATTAGTCAATATATAAATATAAAATAATAAATGACATATTTTCATTTAAGGTGTCAAAAGATAAATATAAAATTTTGAAAAAAAATATAATACTCATGACAATAAATAAATAAATATTCAATGATGGGAAATCCATAATAATGAATACATTTAAAGTATAAAAGTTAAATATTTAGTTATATAAAATATATATAATAATATATTTATAAGTGTTATAAAAAGGGAATAGGATAGATAATAAAAAGAGGAAAAAATCGAATCAAAATATATACAATTATGAAATAAGATATCTTGCTTAAAGACTATTGAGTTTGACTAAAAAGAAAATTTATATAGTAAAATAGATATACATCTAAATAACATAGAAAAATATATAATTCATAATATACATATTTATAACAAGAGAAACGACAAAAACAATCTTAAAAAAATAACAAAGAAGATATAGGAGGACTTAGAAACAAAATAATAAATTTCATAAGCATATCACACATCACTATTGCATTGTAAATGTTATGGTATATAGATATTTATGTAAAAGAGTATAAGTCCCGATGATAGGAGTTTTCGAAGGATCTTGCGAATGCGGGTTTGTTTCTAAAAGTTTTCTAGGTGAAAGGATATTCTCGGATCCCACTAGTATGATGAGAAGGCTTGGATAATATCTTTAATAAAAAAGCTATTGCTCGAATCAGGTCTGCATTTATGAAAATTTTATTTTTGCTACAACGCCTATAATAACCCGAGGATGGGATTTATTCATTGAATTTGTAAAAGTAAGTTTTTCGGATAATTCTCTGGGTGAGAGAATATCTCTAGATCCCACCAATATAATAGGTGACTCTGGAAAATATCTTCAACAAAAGGTTTTTTATCCTATATTATTTGAATTTTATACGCATTTCATGAATACATCATGTATACATCACATCCGTAAAGCCAAATAAAATATTTTAATAAAATAGAGGATAAAATAAAGGAATAATAACTAAAGAAATATAATAAATTTAAGAATTAGGGCTCCAATAAGAGAATCTATAATTAAATGGTACCATTTTTGGAACAGACGTTACAAGGGTGCTAATCTTTTCCCGGGCGTAACTGTACTCTCAAACTCAATCTTAAAAATCGTAGATCAGTTTAATGTTCTCTCGATAGACTTAAAATTAATTTAAGATCTTGTAGATTAGAATTGAGTCAATAGATGATCAATTACATTTAAAAAAAAATTGGTGACGACTCTTAGTTTTCCTGTGTTTAGCAATTGGGTTCCCGGATCCATACGTTACAACAATATCTAGTATTGATTAATGCCCATTAGACAGGGATAGTAGGAAAATGCAGTATATATCTAACCCAGTTTTTGAATTGATGCACTTTGTTGTCTTTCTTGCATAATGTTGGAGTATGGTTGCTAATAAGTTCTTATGGCCCAACTTCTTGAGTAGCTTCTCTATTCCAGAAAGCTAAGTATGGTCAACCTCGGGTTTGGAAGAATAGTGTTTTCCATTTTAGTTTCTGTGAAGATGGAAAAAGTTTCTGGAGGCTAATATATGGAACTCCAAATTAAAGTTGAAAAGAACAGCAACAAGAAGTTGACAGGCTTATGTAATAAAATTTTAAATAAACAAAAGAGTTCCTTCATTTTGCAAATAGTATTAATTCTGACAATACTTTTCAAAAATCTGTATTTCAACTATACTTGGCCAAATAAGTTTTGTACTTTTTGATAAGAAAATTTTATGTATGCAACATTTTTGTAAACCGGACGAGACACTCATACAATTAATTGGATTCAATTATTGGCAGCAAGTGGGTTGTAGTCAATTTCAGAGAACTGATGTTTGTTTCATGTTCAATCAGAGAATTGTTGGGGTGGTGTCAGTTCATTGAATTCTGATTATTAGGTGGTCCTGGAGTCATCGAAGATTTTCAGCTTTGGTTAAAAAATAATAGATCAAAGAATCTGGTCTAATAGATCAATGGTGTTTGGACTTTGGACTGGCTTGAGAATATGAGAACTGAATTTTACATAGAAAGCTTATAAACGACTTTCTGTAGTAGACTACAGCTATATCGAAAAAGAGGCTTGAATTTTCACTTCCTCTTCTCCTTGCTTTTGGAAGAGCAGGGACTGTGGAGACCATGAGATGTTTGGGTTTTTCTTTTGTTGTCAAAACAGCCAGCCTGATGTCCAAAAATAGTATCGTGAAGAAAATGACAGTGAAGAGCCAGTATGATGTCCAAAATTAATTTGTGGCTGCAATTTGCCTTGAAGTTACAAGCAGTGAGGCCTCAACCCTGTTCTACTAGACAAGACATTGAATTGACTTAATTAAAATTTAATCTGGGAGATTTTTGGCCTTATTGAGGTTTGCAGAAAACTCCTGAAGAGAACCAGCAAAAATATCTATTGTCAGTTTGTGTTTTGCCTGATGTAGCACCCAAAAAAGAAAAAAAAAGAGAGTACAAGATAGAGGGAATGCTATGGATTTAGGTAGTTTAGCATTGAAGCTATGGTGAAATAGCTTTAGTGACAAAACATAACTAGTATTGTGGGGAAAATGGCTTTCAGTACCAAAACTATTAAGGTTTGGTTAAAAACAGTGGTTGACATGTTAAATTTCGACTCTCCCATTGACAGCCACCCTTAAAGAATATGAGGAAACAGACAAGGCTCGAAATTTTGTTGAAAAGGTTAGAAGATCAAAATAGAATCAAGAAAGTGGTGTATATTTGAATACTTAAAAGTTAAGTATACTAATATAAACCCAATTTGATTAATGCTACAACTTGATCAAATGCTATATTATAAAGTTTAAGACTTTGGGGTTTTTTCTTTCAATCTATCTATTATTGAATGGTTGATACTAAAATGATGATAAAAGAAATTTTACGTCTAAGGTATCTGCACGAATAATTTAATAAGAGTCCCCCTCTTTTTAGAATCAATTGGTTTGATATTAAATAATTATTTTAATATTCTAGCATAATATCATAGTAGAATCTAAAAAAATATTTAATTATTAAAAATATATCTAATTTAGTAAATGAGGATCTTGATCATATAGTATAACTACGTCCTTTCCATGATGAATTGATTTAGGTTGGATCAGAAGATGGAGGAGCAGGGTACTCTCACATTCAATGGACTATCGTGAGAAAGTGAATTCAACAGAAGAATGAAGGTTGAATTATTATAACAATGCCATTGATTGGAAGGTTACATCAATGCACATCTGCTTTATGTCATTTTCCTTCTTAATCTTGGCATTTTGACTGCATTAATGTTCAGCAGAGAGTGACAATCCCCTCGAAACAAGTTAAAAAATGGTGTCACCAGTCTCTCGGTCTCGTTAACTCTCAAAAGCACAGCACGCGTCAGCCTTGGTTTGGTGGAAAACGAAGGCAAGATGACAATGCCGCCGCTGATGCCATTGCTATCAGTGCCACCACAGATCCACGACCGTTCATTTTTACTGCAGAATGCAATCAGAAAACGGCTTTGTTGAGCGCCCAACTTGCCCGACCCTGTCATCGACGTGTCTCTGCCTTAGAGGCCGTAAGCTTGCAAGTTGCCAATGCCAATTGCATCCGTGGACTTTCATGGTGAATCCAACACACCCAAAGCTATGTATGCCCTTGTTGGAATCTTTGTCGTTTATGGATTGAGCTTATGTGACGGGTCAGATTCGTTCATTGTAAGTTTTCTTTACTCTTCTTTAAATCCCCATTTAGCTCCTTGCTGTTCTTAGTCGGGGAGTTTCTTTGTCCTCTGACCACCCTGTCAAAGGGTTCTTTCTTTGAAACAGATACTTCTACAAGTATAATTTTTCAATCTTTAACTATCTCCTACAAAACTCTTACCTTCTTTACTTGCTGCACAGATTTTCCTTACTATCTCCTACAAAACTCTTACCTTCTTTACTTGCTGCACAGATTTTCCTTACTTCTGTTCTTTTCTTATTGGTTAGTTGGACTTGTTATTCTAAAAAAATATGAAAATGCTGCTGAGAAGCTCATCAACACCAATCTTAAACTCGTGGTTACCTCGCTCCAATGACTGTTCATCACCAGAGCCAGACTTTCCCAATCCCCAAAGAACCAGATCAGTCTCCTTCTACTCTCCTTCTCCTTCAGATGACCATAAGCAAAAACTAACACAAAGCTTGGCTGATATCAGTATCCAAAATGATACACCGAAACCAAGAAAAAAGAAGGGGAAAGCCATAATACCAACATCTTGCTCTGTTGACAAACAAGCAAAGCAAGAAAGTGATCAAGTAAAAGAGTCAAAACCCAACTCTTGCTCAATCCGAAGACTGTTTTCAAGTTCTGGGTTGGGAGAAAAAATAGTAGATGAAGATGGTGAAGATAGTATTGTGATGCAGACACCAGTGATGGGTGGTGGAGCAGAAAATGATGGTGGTAAAATCTGTGGTGGTGGTGGAAGAGGAGGAGGATCAGACGGTGGAGATGATGGCGGTGGCTCGGGGTTCTTTGAGAGCAATAATCATGGGAGTGATAGTACTGATGTCTACTATCAGAAGATGATTGAAGCAAACCCTAGCAATCCACTTTTGCTTGGGAATTATGCCAAGTTTTTAAAAGAGGTAAGTGATAAATTCTTAAGAAAAGATAGTTAGCTTGCTATTTTTAGAACTGTTAGCTACTTTTTGCAATTCTCTATTGGTGTAGAAGTACGGGAGGAAGGGAAAGAGATGATAATTCTGTCATTGCTGAGGCAGTGAAAGGTCTAATGCTTCACAATGTTTAATGTTTGCCACTCAATTTAACCTAATGTAACTATTTTATATTGCTTCCTTACATAAGGAAACCTTTTGACCTTTCCTTTTTCTGGTAAAATTTCACCTGTTACATTATATTTTTGCATCGATTTTTCTAGTTCCTGGTAGGCATGGGAAACGACTCTGAAGAGGAATAATCTGATCAATTTGTTTTCTCTTTTGATTTCGTTAAAACATAACTGATTTATCCTTTGTTTGTTCACAGATTAGAGGAGATTTTGCGAAAGCAGAGGAGTACTGCGGAAGAGCAATTCTGATGAATCCGGATGATGGGAATGTTTTGTCTCTCTATGCTGATCTAATTTGGCAAAACCAAAAAGATGCTCATAGAGCCAAAAGTTACTTTGATCGAGCTGTTAAGACTGCCCCAGATGACTGGTAAAATACCAAGAACTAACTTGTCAACATTCTTTGCATCCAAATAAAGGTTTAGCTTTTATGGCTACATTTGTTGTATCTAGTTTTGTTCTGTATCAAACAATCATTTGTTTTTGTCAAACTGATATGTTGCCTGAAATTTTACTAAGTTTACCTTGATGGATTCCTTGAATCTATGACTTAAATCATAAATTTTCCTGGATTTTGTAAATCAACTATGTTTCGCAACAAAGAAGTCTTTAAAGTTAATATGTACCAGCTCTACTTGCATTTGTTAGAACTCAGAATCACTTGTATACAGCTGAAACTTAATGTGTGATCCTCAATTTTGTCTGCAGTTTTGTCCTGGCTTCATATGCAAAATTCCTTTGGGATGCTGAAGAAGTAGAAGAGGAAGAAGAAGAGCATGATCAGAGCGGACAAGAAACTGAGCACAGCCATATATCTCATCCAGATTTCTTCCTTCAACCTCCTCACAACCCTCCCATAACTGCAGCTTCCTAACTTATGTATGTACAAAAGCTTTGACTTAGTACGTTAGCTAGAGAATGAAGTAGATGAGGATATCTTTTGTTCTTTTCCCGAGTGTATCTTGCAAGAATAGTTCTGCCTAAAAATACAATAAAAGTATACTTTTGTATTAGTGAAAAGAGCATATTTTCTGGAAATATTAGGCTATGAGCTTGTTGAGTATCTGTATTCCTCAAGGCACATGAAATGATCTGTTTTATGTCTTTTGTGTTACTTTCCCATATGTTGTACTTAGAAAAAGTTGAAAGGATATGTTTAGTTGAGAAAGGGGAAATGATGGATCAGAGTAACTCCTGTTTGAGTTTAAGGTCAGATTGGGTATTTAATTTCAAACCAAGAAGGATGCAAAACAAGAAGAATTTGTGTAAATTAGATGGTGATTTCCTCCAAACCAAATATAGGGGAAAGGTTTAATGGTTTATCTGAATGACAAATATTTTATGCAGAAGTATCTCTACTAGCTTCTTGTCAATTTTTATTTCACTATGACTAGATCATCATCTTAGCCATCGATTGCTAAATTGCAGCCCAGAGAGGCATGTCACTTAAAAGTGTTTTCATGAATAATCTTTTCAGCATTATGTAGTAACCTCAAAGATTTACTTGGTTAAGAGAGTTTTTTTCAGCCATCTTTAGCACAAAAAACAGTATATATCTTGAATGATGTACTTGTTTCTGCCTTCTGTATTTTAGTTTGATACTAAAAGTTTCAGCTTACCACATGAATTACACAATTTGGGGTTGTTCTTCTCAGACCCTTGATGCCTCATCTCATATTTCCTGGTTCAATCTGGATTCTGGAAAATTCATTACTTTCAAACTCGAGGAAGAGACCCAAAGACCATTGATTGGGCAGTACCACCTACTTTAGGATACATAAGATGTCAAGTCATTCAGCCAAATTAGAACATAACACATGCCTAGCATCGTGTCTAGCATCGTGATTAACATAATCCTGCATAATATCTAGAAGAAGAAAGGAAAAAAACCAAGGGACGTCAGGTAAATAGGCTCCTATCAAAACTCTTTTTGAGAGATATTCTAGCTTGGCTTGTGGCTTGTATGTCTGGTATCTATTTTCTATCTCCTGCTCTTTTCATGGATGACGAGGTCTTGCATACATTGCAGTGATAAGCTGATAACATACATTAATATATCATATTTCTTTTAGTCCCTTAGCACTGTCTGTAGTTATTATTCAGTGTGGAGCAACAGGGAAAATGTCATGATTCAACAATACCTTATAGTGGTTGTTGCAATGCTTGGAATCATCTAAAAGTTTGGACCCATCTTATCACACTACTTTTTATCTGTTGTGCAATTGGTTTTTCCAGCTTACCAGATCGACTCCATTTGTGGGACTGACCATCATCATGCCTTATCTCCACATGGGAAAGTTAAAATTGGTTTCTTCTCTTTAACAAAGAAACAATTGAATTGTACCAGGGGAATTGGCCAGAACAAGAAAAAAGTTAGGTAAGATCCATCTAATATTGCAGAATTACAGATGTTTATCAGCTCTTTTAGATTTTTCTAATATGCTGTTGGCTTCAGATCAGGCCAAAAGAAAGAACTATTGCTCTTTCAGGCCAGGAGAAAAGTGCAGCTAGAGTCCAATTTGTCAACTATGTATATTAACCATTTTCTCTCCTACTTGAATGTGAAATATTGCTGTCAAATTGGGAAAATAAAACCTCTCCACCAGGACTAAACTCGCCTAAGGTATCAACATGACCATAGCAACAGTCTTTCCCATTGAAAACTTATCCAACATTTATTGTTCAATTTGTTCTTCTTTGTACAGGGTGAGTCCAAGTTTGCACAGTGTTTCCAACAGGAGGGCCAGAAACTTTTACCTTGTTCAAGAAAAAAGAAGGGTCGATTGGCTAAAATTGTCAAGGGAAGAACAGGTCTTTGAGTGGATAATTATTACAAGAGTTGGTTGGATATCATAGTCACACAGAACACTTTTATTTCCATCTTGAAAGGAATCTCTCATGTAATATTGCCTCTCTCTTAATCAAAAGAGAAATAAAACATTGCAATTATTACCTATACTATACTAGCAATGCCAGGACCCGAATGAAGGAACTGGCTTAAATCACTTTTTACAACTTTGAGATACTTTATCTGGAACTCCATTAAATGAAAGGGTATCCAAATTTTATAATTATTTAGACAGAATTTGAACATGCAACTCGTACTACAACTTAAATCTTACATTGGTTAATTACTTAAATAAACAAGTCAAATTTTTTAAGCTGTTCATAAATATAGATTAAGTAATCCAAACTCAAACCCAAAAAATAAAGAAATTAAATTTTATATCTAAAATATTCAATTTATTAATAATTTCATTACTAATAAAAGTAATTAACAAATTATGTATATAATTGGGGTTGAGGGTATTGAGTACTTAATATTGTCTAAATATTTATATGATCAAGCTAAGGTATTTTGTATCCAAGGGTTGATATTTGTACTTTACCAGAACTTGTGACAAGTACTAAAATTCTTATCCGAACTCATCTTAAATCTAAATAAAAAAATATCGAAACCCAAACCCTTTATAATCAAGTCTGATGCAAGAGAGAGGTGAAAAAGTACAATGAACATCGGAGAAAGATTCTTGATAAAGAACATGAATTCAAGATCAATGACTCATCATCCTCGCTGAGGATGCAGTATCAGTTTCGGCATTGGATGAGGAGTTCTCCAAATGTCAAGCTGTTATTGTATTAACTCCACAAAAGAGTAAGGAGTTCATTCTTGCATTTCACCTTCATCACCTTAACATGCTTGTACGCCATTTCTGCCTGCAATCTTTAATAGAATTTATTGTTTAACATTAACATCAGAAGAGAATTATAGTCTTTTCACAACCCAAAACCTCTGATTTCCCGGAGAATTATTGTTTAACATTACATTAACTCATTGTTTAGAATATCCCATCAGTTGGCAGGATTATTACTCTTGTTTTTTTTGTTTAGTGGAAAGGAAGTTTGATCTCTGTTTTTCAAACAAAAAGATTATGCATCAATTATTAAACTAAATGTTCGAGGCCCTTGGCAGGATCGTTACTTAAAGGTATAGCAAGTCTCAATTGGATGAGAATGCGCTTTGATTTATTAAACACATTTAAGAAATCAAGTCAGTCATTACTAATAACTTGAGTGTAAAGTATAGACTTTTGAAAATCACATGATTTAAACTTGATTCTGGGCTGGGAGAGAAGGAAATTATAAGTCCAGAATAAGCAGTATGCGAAAACTTAAAAGATTTTAACTCAGATAGATGCTCCAGCTTCATATATATATTCAATCCAATGAATTGTAGTTCCTTTATGCACAGAATCTTGAAGAATCCAAAGAAAAATTGCCATGATATTGAAGAACAAAGATTTACAAGAAGGAAAACTATTTAGAAAGCAGAGCAACTCTTGGGCTTATCATGCATACTGAAGAGAACATGTACAATATAAAGTCATGAGAACCTGGACATTTCAAGCCTAGTAATCAATGAATTGGAGCCAAAACTGGAATCTTTTACACTTTAAAGAGTTGTACTTTGTAGATACATCTCCAACTACAATAATGGCTTCATTCACCGTGGACCTGATAGTCGAACATCGGACAAAAATGCATCACTATTGTACGCTGTTTGTCCTGACGATGAACACCCGTCAGTGCTCCACTTAAGAAAACCTGAGTAAGCCCGAGCACCTGGGAGTGAAGAGAGTGGGGGCTGAGGTACATCACAGAGACCTTCAAGCATCTGAACTACTTTAGTCATTGGTGGTCTTAAACGCATTTCTTCTTGTATACACCATAATGCGACTTTTATCGCAGTGACAAACCTTTCATCATTTTCATTGACATCTAGCATAGGATCAAAGATTTCTTTCAGATTTCCTTCTTCCAACGTCTTGAAGGCAAAAGCAGGTAAATGAGCTTTCTCAGAAATTTCCCCAGGATCATAACTCTTCCTACCCCCAATGATCTCAAGCAAGACCATACCATAGCTGTATACATCACTCTTCTCTGATATAGGGTTGTTGGTGATCCACTCTGGTGCAAGGTATCCCCTTGTACCTCTTAGTGTTGTATATACCAGGCTTTCTTCACGGCTCATAAGCTTAGCCAAGCCAAAATCTGAAACTTTGGCATTGAAATGATCATCAAGAAGAACATTTTCAGGTTTTATGTCACAGTGCACGATCTTCAATTCACATTCCTCATGGAGATAAGCCAATCCCTTTGCTGTACCCAGTGCAATATTGAATCTTGTATCCCAATCCAAAATATTACTTTCTTCACCGTTCTTGAATATCCATTTATCCAGAGATCCTTTGCCCATGAACTCATAAACAAGAAGCCGGTGAACACCCTCAGAGCAGAAGCCTTTGAGCTTGACCAGGTGCACATGATGGATACTTCCAATGATTCTGACTTCAGCTCTGAACTCCTTTTTTCCTTGTCCTATTCCCTCCAATTTTTTAACAGCCAATTGAGTGCCATCTGGCATCACACCTCGGTAGACTGAGCCAAATCCTCCTTGGCCAACCTTTTTAGAGAAGTTTTTAGTGGCCTTACAAAGTTCACCATAAGAATAACGAACAGGCATCCCTGAAAAACTGTCCAGGAAATTATCCTCCTCCAAGTTTTCTTGAGCACATTGCAGCAATCGCTTCTGTTTGCGGTAATAACAGAATCCCACATAAAGTATACCAGCAATAACCAGACTTGTTGCTACTACTATTATCACAACAATTATAACATGCCTAGCTTCATTATTGGTACCATTTTCATTCTTTGAGACCTTCACATATGAAACAAAACCACTAGAACCCCGCTCAGCACGCTTCATACCTGCTATGTGGTCAAACAAAAAGCACTTCCCAGTACTGTTTTCAAAGAACAGTGCAGCACAGGTGCAGTTTCCAAGGCAAGCTTTCTTGCAAGCATCTATATCGGAGTTCAAATAGGGTTTGGCAAACTGAAGCACAGAATAATCGAGCTTCTGACCAACATAGAGTAGATCTACTGAACCACAGTTTGACACAACAGGTGGTCTGCAGTTGTTTTGGGTGCGAAGATCATTAGGACATAGACACACAGTGTCAAAAGAGCACACCATCAACGGGGGACAATACTCAGGAATGTCGCAGGGGTTTTGTGGTATCTTTGTTGCCTCAGCAATCACTCGACTTCCCTGATGAAGATTATAGAACACAATTGCTCCATCTGATCCTAATTTGGCAGCCCATGTCACGTTCACATCAGAATTTTGAGAGAAGTTAAACTGCCATAGCAAGACTTTATTTTGATCATAAAAGTTCCATGAGTTGGATACTAAACGTGCAGAATGAACCTCGCTGATGGGACTTTTACTCATTTTCTGGATTTCGTCCAACAAGGACCAATAGGTTTGTGGAGTCTGAAACCCTGTGTACAAGACCAAATCCCCAGACTTAAATTCAAGATAGTCACTCTTATCATTTCTGGGAAAACTTTTAAGCCTCATTCCTTCCACAAACTCCTGGCCAGATAAAAGGGTATCAGTGGGATAGCTAAAGCTCTGCCAAAGAGTTCTTCCATTATCCCCATGAAGTACGAAGTTACCTGAGTCCAGCAATTCCATTGATGTAGCCCTTTTCCCAGTTGTGTTTGTTGCCCAAGCAACCTTATCTCCTCTTTCCAAATAAACATTCCCATTATCATCAAACACAAACTTATCAGATTTGTCAACCAACAAGCCTCTATTAGCAGTCCAAACAACTTTGCAGGTTTGAAGATGAATGATAACCAGGACAAAACGTTGAGGATCCAGGGTGGTATAGAAGCCAAAACCAAATATTTTATTTTTGGATAAGAGAAACCAGCCATCATGTTCTAACCATTGCATCTGAGATGCTCGGAATCCTGGATATATCTGGCCAACATGTTGATCGACAGCAATACAGACTTTGAAGGCAAGGAGTAGACAAAAGCACAAGATTCTGGCTTTGAACAACCCCATAATTCCTGTAAATACAAATATTTGAAGACTTTGCTCAAGCAACCAGAAGATTGTTAAAATCTAAAAAGATCTCTACACAAAAAAGAAAAAAGAAAAAAAGAAAGATTCTCTGGGATTGGGTATATATCCTACAAGATGGAAGTGTAATAGTGGGAAAATGGGTTTGGTGCCTAGTTAAAGCAGGAACCCTTTACATTACAATTCTGAAAGCAGATAACAAATTTTAAAAGTGAAAAAGCTAAAGAGCTTGATGTGTGACACTTTCGATTCAGTAGACAATACTAGCTAAGGGAAGAACAAAAGTACGGATATTCAAACACTCTGATGATGCAAGTAAAGCAAAAAGCAAAAAGCAAAAGCAAAACTATATTAGCATTCTGAGAATAAAAAGAGATGAAATAGCATACTAAGCGATCCAATGATGGGTTTTCACTGTACTAAAAACTTACCAGCAGGGTTAGAAATCCATAAGAGCTTTCAAATAGTCTTTGATGCCTGATGAAGAGGAAAGGAAAGATAAGCCAGGAGAGGAACAACAGACACGACCAACCTCATTTTTTTGGATCAGTCCGAGAACCAGCTGGTATGGCACAGTTGGGTGCTTGGGTTTCTTCTTGCTTAAAAAGGTAGAAGATTTGAAGTTGGAAAGCAAAACCCAACATGGAAACTATACACGCATATTTTCTGTTTCCTTTATGAAATTGGGGGGTAGAAATGGGAAGAGTGAGATGGCAGAGGGGTCACAGGGCAGGTAATAAAACCTCTTACTTTATTGACTGTCAACTTATTATATTCTTATTGGGATGTCTTTTTGCCTTAATAATTTTTTAATAAACAGAAAAATTCTTCCATTTGGCATGTGGATTGTGAACTCTGAGAGTGGAGAAGAAGAGAAGATGGGGGCTTCTTTTTGTCAGTTGAAAGTGTTGCATCACCAATTGGCAGGTTGGTCATCAGAGTCAATCCCCAGACCTCCTTAACCCCCTATTAATCAAAATTTCTGCTTTTGGACAGTTCAAATTCAGAAACATTTCTAGCTCTAGCTCTGCCATATCCTTATTATTTATTTCCTGAACTAGCCGATCTGATCCTTTGATCATTGAAGTTCACAAAGATCTTTGGGTGTAATATGTCAAAATTGAAAACAACCCATCCCAACATACTACGGCAAGACAAAGCCCCCAACCTTGTTTCGTGGGTTCTTCCTGGATTCGAGAAACAATAGGCTTTGTGGGGACATATTTTCTCCTGAAAAAGGTCGTCTGAAAATAGAATCCAGTTATAAAAAGTCAAGAGCTAACAACCAATTTGAGCTTTTGTTAGTGACCTGTCACTCGAGGCGGCTATTGCCCTTTCTTCAATCCATTAAACTAAATTATATAACGACTCATTTATATTATATATTAAATGCATCATCATAATATTTATATACTATCACTTAATTACAGAATCGATAAACATCACTCCATTAACCTCATCAAGTAATCATTATTTTCCTTAGTTTTAATTCCCCATTCACCTTACAAAGGCAAGCAAAATCTATCCACCAAGAATCAAATTCATCATCCCCATTTTTAAAAGTTTAATCATTCCTATGGCATTTGTATAGCCATCAACTTTCAAAAAGATTCATAATGTTATTGTTAAGTAGTTATCAGGTTTAGAAAATTTCCTTATGAAGCACTTTGATTACCACAAAATATGGTGAGTTTATGGTCCATAACAACTGCTCCTTTCACTTGTTTTTGAATATTTAATTAATTAATTAGTATATAATTTTTTTTAAAAGGTAAATTTTAATTTTTTTTAAATATATATATATATATACTGCTCCACCCACCTATAGCTATTAGAGAAGGGTCCAAGAAAGGTGTAGGAATGTCCTTTCGTGAGAAGTTTCAACTCCCAAACTTTCTTTCCAGACAAGTGAAACATGACAAAGATATTAAAAGAGTGTGAGCACATTTAAACCATAATCTACGTTTCCACATTAATGACCACGAAACATAAATGTGAACCCCCCACTGTGTTTCTCTTAATATATAATTTCCATAATTAAAGTGTTTTTATCCAAAAGCAATGCAAAAACAAATGTTTAGACCATTTGTTTAAGCACTAAGCTACAATTTATATGCGTGTGTGAAATTAATCTTTGAAAGGATCGATTGAAACAATTTGTGTGCGAATGAAGTTATATCGTCAATATGTCGTTATATAAAAAAAATTTATTTTAATTTCAAATATTCGTATTTGAGGATAAACAATAAAAATATATTAATTACAATCCTCGTAATTCAATGACATCTTCTATCAAAAGATAAATATTCCGTCAAACACTTTAAATAAAGCAAGTAAGGTTTACATCAAGATGATAAAAATGATCTTGACGTTTGTTAGAGAGAGAATAGATCTAAGTTAAACTTGACTGACTCTAAATACCTCCAGAAGGGTCAAGCAGGGTGGTTATGACCTGTGGCTTACAATTAAAGTCTTTGGTTTTGAAATATCTAAATATGATAATCATGGGTTCGGATGCTTGGGGCTTAAATTATTGATCTTAGCACCCAAAATGGGGCTTGCTACGATGAACACTCCTGATGTAGTAGTAGTAGTAGTGGTACGGAAGATGACGCGAAACGTACCAGCACAAGCAAATATAATATATGCACAAAATCAATACACAGGAAAAAAAAGAATGATTTCTTTTTGTTGGAATTTCGATGTACATTTCTTGACAATTTGAATCTCTTTGGTTGGGTTTCTGTGAAATAATGTAGCGATAACGAAGTAGTTGTCGAGGGTATTACCTCGTCAATGACGAAAAAATATTATAAATTAAGAAGAAAAAGAAAGGATAAGCATGAAGATTGGAGTTTACCAATCATTCATAGAATCCTTCATTAAAACCTAGAATCTGATGCTATGGGGAATCCAGCCTAATGTTGAGCATAAGTTTTCCATGATAAAACATAGATAAATGCCTATAATAATAACGGATTTAGAATTTTGTATAAGAGGTAGGTAAAGGGTAATTAGATAAGATCATAAATTAAGTTAATAATTCAATTCAGAGTAAAAATTAATCACTGAGAGATGGTGGCCACTCCCTTGTGCCACCACCTTTGGTCTGCCCCGCCTTGCAATTTTGAGTTTTGGCAGACAAACAAGGAAGAAGATGATGGAGGTGCCAAACGATGGAGAGGTTAGGCTTGGGGTTGGGCCCTTTTAAACTTGGGCGTTGGTATTTTTGGGCTTTAAGGTATTTGAAGTAATCATTTTGTCTTGACTTGGTTGTTGGTTACAACTACCACAAGGAACTTTCAAAGCCATCTATTTAACTGTTATATCTTTATCTTAATGTGATACAACTATAACTCATTAATTAATATCATTTGCAAGTCCAAAGTATGTCAAATTTCACTATATAAATCCTTTAGTAATGGGAACAATAAGACTGATCCTACCTACTATTTATGTTTGTAAGTCACAAAGTTAAGTTTAAAATCATTGATTGAAATTTATTATTAAATATCTAATGTTGAAGGTCAAATTTTATGACATTATTATGGTAGAGTTCAACTAGTGGTGGAGAGAAGGTAGTGGTGGGATGGCGACCACCGTCCTTCAATTTTTAATATTTTGTAGATGGGATTACTTATCTAAATTAATATTTTAATATTTTTATAAAACGATCTAATTAAACTATTGGGTTAATTGGTTTAAAATATTTAGTTCAAGTAGTTTTTTGATCGGTCTCGGTTTTAAAATTTTTAGACTAATCCATCTAAAAAATAAAATTAATAATTATATATATTAATATATATACTATTTTTTTTATATAAAAAAATTTATAATAAACTTAATTAATATTATACTTAAAATTTATTAGTTTATTATATGTACGTATACAAATCATAATCATAACAAGTTAATATTAACTATATATTATTTATTCATAAATTTGTAATAAAATAACATTATAAGTTATATATTTTAAATGATATAACTTATATGTTAATATTATAATATATGATTAATAAATATCCTACATATTTATATATTATAATTATTACACCTCAATAATTTTCGTAATATAAAATGTTATAAGTATATATAATTTGTATAAATATATTATATATATACATATATATAATTTTATGTATAAGCATTTACTATAACTTATACTAAACTTTATTATGATTACAGTTAGATAACGTTTGGGTATAAGGGAAGTGAAAGCACATTCTCTGCAATGTGTCCAATTAAATTACATTACAGTGTTTATTTTGTAACAGACCACTGTAATGTAAGATTACAATACAATCACATTACAACTAAGAAATGGTAATGTGATTGCAGCCAAAAACCAATACAATCACATTATATTGTACTCTACAATGTTCTTAAAGATAATTTTATCTTTCAACTTTATTACCTTATTAAAAATATTTTATAATGTTATAATTAAAATAAAAAATATTAAAATAAAATATATAATATAAGAATCAAAAATTAAAATAAAATAAAATATAAAAAATTAAAATTTATATAATATAGGTAAAATAAAATAAAATAAAATAAATAAAATAAAAAATATATTAAAAAATAAAAATAAAATATATAAGATTATAATAATAAATAAAAATAAAATATATGACATTAAAAATAAAAAAAATAAATATATGACATTAAAAATATATTTAAGATATGATATTATATAAAAATTAATAATAAAAAATAAAAAATAAAATATTATAATAATAAATAAAAATAAAATATATGACATTAAAAATATATTTAAGAGATGATATTATATAAAAATTAATAATAAAAAATATAAATATATTAAACTTATATTTTAATAATTAGAGGTAATTTTGAAAATTAAAATTATATTTTCAATAAAGTAATTGTAAACCAAATGCTGTAATATTATTTGTCCTGCATTTTAATCATTATTTTACTTGTATACTAAACACTATAATGTTATTTTCCTTGTAATCACATTACTTGCAATCACATTACTTGTAATCACATTGCATTGTAAAGTATCAAATGCCACCTTAATAATTTTATTAGTTATCACTTTAGTTTTTATAACATATTATTTATAATTAGTTATTATTTATACAAACTTTGATAGAGAACATTATAACATATAAATTGTGTCATTAATTTCATATATGTCTATATATAATAAAATAATATTATATATATAAAAATTATATATAAACATAGTATAACTTATAATAGATTTTATTTATATGATTATACTTAACAACTTTATTAACTATCATTTTTGTTTTTATAATATATTGTTTATAGTTAGTTATTATTTATATAAACTTTGATATAAAACATTATAGCATTATAATTTTATTATCTTTAATTTTTTGTTATGTTAAATCTTAAATGTTAATTTGATAGTTTTTATAAAAGATATAATTATGTGAGTGAAGAAACAAATGTATATTTTTTTAATATTTAGATTATTTGTATATTTTATAATTATGAATAAAATTTATAAATTTTAATATTATAATTTGTAAAAAAAATTAAACTATTGGTATAAAATCAATCCGATTGAATTTTTTTGATATTTGATCAATCTGATCTTTCAATTTTGATTAATTTTTTAAAAACATTTAATTTATTTTATCTTTAAATACTATATATCAAATCATCCAATTTATCCATTTACTCACTCTCAAAATCAAGTAATAATATCATTTTCATTTACCGTGCTTT